AACTGCTTCACGCCAGCAGTCCTGGACCAAGAAACCTCGGCGGATTTCAGTGTCGGGTTTCTTGCGGCGGGTTTCTTGCGGATCGGCCCCCACAGTACAGTGAGCGGTCTGAATGAGGAACACTTTTTTCTCAGAAGGGGCTCGGCCGTTCCTGAGGTTTGCATGCGTTATTTGTCGTTCCGCATGCGCTATCTGTAATTTATTGTTCCTTACGCGTTCTTCCTTGGAGTGCGGCGCCTAGGTGCGTCTGCTGGTGAATGCAGAGCATTTTGTTCAGTGCATGTGCAGCTGCGCGCTTGTTGTGCAGGCTCGGACCGGCCTGCCAACGTGGCGGTTGGGGTCGCCAATTCGCATTGTGCCGCCCGCCCCGGACACTGCCCCTCGCCGCCAGACCTCTGTCGCGCGGCCGCAGACCAAAAAAGTTCTTCCTTGGAAGAGAGGGGCTCCGTTCCTTACTCCTCGTTCCTGAGGCCAGGCCGAGGACCGTAGGTGCGTCGGTGAAGAAGCCGGCCTGCCAGCATGTGCCCCACGGTAGCGCCTCCCCTCCGGGCCCTCGGGGGGGGGGGGGGGCCACGGAGGAGGCCCCGGGGGCGCCTCGGGGGGCGCCTCCCGCGTCCGTGGCACTACCGCCCTGAGCGGGGTCCCCATCGGGCACGCGGCACCGGGTGTGATATCTGCCGAGGAGAGGAAGCCGCGGGAAGCTCAAGGCTTTTGTGTGTGTGTGGGGTCATATATATATATATGTTTATTTATATATGTATATGTACACTACAAAAGATTCAAGCATAAACAATAATGTTTTTGCAAGCTTTCTTTTCGTGTGCGTGTGCGCCCTGGGAGGGCCGACGCCCTCCACCCGCCCTCGAGAGCGGCCGTGCCCAGGCATCCGGCGTTTGTTGATGTTGTTGTTGTTGTTGTTGTTGTTGTTGTTGTTGTTGTTGTTGTTGTTGTTGTTGTTGTTGTTGTTGTTGTTGTTGTTGTTGTTGTTGTTGTTGTTGTTGTTGTTGTTGTTGTTGTTGTTGTTGTTGTTGTTGTTGTTGTTGTTGTTGTTGTTGTTGTTGTTGTTGTTTTGCTTTTCTTTTCTATGAAGAGCACAGTGCGGCCCCAGATTTGCGGAAGACGCTCCATGGAGAGGAGGCATGTTGCCAAATCACTCCCAGATGGAAAACCATGTTTTGTGACAGGTTCGAGCATGCGCACACATGTTTAACACACACACAGCCCGCACATTCTGTCTGACAGGTTCATGCGTGTATGCGCATGTTTAACAAAAACAAGTGTGAAACCACTTGAAAACAGGTGTGACCATTTTTACGTTCAGGTCGTCGTTTTCGTACTCATTGTTTGGCCGATCGGCGCGGGCCCTCGCACCCCCCCCTCTTCCCCCCCGTGGAGCAGATCTTGGCTGCTTTGGGCGACTGCTCCACGCAGGTGGAGTCCCTCCTCCATGGGACGCACTGTTCGCAAACAGTCGCACTGCGGAGGTCCAGAGCCAGACGCCCCCCCCCCCTCCCCGCCCTCCCGCACGATGTCGAGACGCCGAATAAGAAAACGATCACCAGTCTCAGGCTTCCGACGTCGTGATTTTTTCGCAACGTCGACACCCAGAGGTCTGGACCCCTTCCCGGGGACCCGTTTTTCATCCCGAGTCGTTTTTTTGACGGTCCCGAGGCCCGGGGAGGCCCCCCGGAGGCCGAAAATGGCGAAGAACTTCGGGTCGTGATTTTTTCGCAGCGCGAGGAGGTCTGGGGTGATAGGGCTGTTAGAGTGTCCATTGTCGTGGCATCCACAACCTCAGAGCTCCCGACCCGTTCCCTGGGGGCATGTGTCTACTCCCGGATCCGTGAGAAGGCTTCACGGAAGCTTCTTGGAAGGCCGGAGGCCTTGTGAGCCTTCTTTCAGAAGGCCCGCCCCCTCCTCCTTCCCCCTGGGCGCGCCGCCGATGTATGCCCTGGCTGGACCCGGACCCCCGACGTCGTGATTTTTTCCATGACGTGACCCTCAAAAGTTTGGGCCTCTTCCCAGACATCGGTTTTTCATCCTGCATCGTTTTTTGACGCTCCCGAGGCCCGGCGAGGGCCCCCGGAGGCCGAAAGTAGCGAAAAACCTCCCGTCACGACTTTTTCGCGACGCGGGGGGGGGTCTGGGGAGGGCTTAGGGAGGAGCGCGGGCAGATGCCGGCGGGCGTGGCTCGGCGTCACCCCAACGTACTGATCCTATGTGTGCGTCGCCCCCCCCCCCCAGGGGGCGATGCGCGCACCGAAAAATCTTATAATGTGTGTGTGTGTGCTGCGTGACGGGAGCTTTCTGGCCACACCGCTCGGGAAACGATCTACTACAAGATGGGTGTACTATATTATGGTTGTGGTCGGACGCGCGCCTCCAAGGATGACATCTACAATCGGCCCGTATCATCAGGATGCACGATCAGGATGCAAGGGCCCTGGACGCCCATCTCGAAGCTTCTTCGAGCGGGGCGCGGCCAACGAAAGTGGCAAAGGGTGGACCGAGGAGGAGGATGCAATGGTACCCTTGGGAAGGTTGCCCGTCCTTACTGTGCGGGTCGACATATAAGACGAGTGTGTCTCTGTGCGTCCCGTTAGGGAGGAGCGCGGGAGGATGCCGGCGGGCGCGGCGGCCAGGCGATCTGCGTGTACTCGCCCATGGAGGTCGACACCGTCGGCGCCGAAGCGGCGGGGCGCCGTGCTCTCTCCTCGTCCTCCTCCTCCTGCTCCTCCTCCTCTTCCCCCTCCTCCCCCTCCTCCTCCTCCTCCTCCTCCTCCCCCTCCTCCCTCCTCCTCCTCCTCCTCCTCCTCCTCCATCTCCTCCTCTCCTCCTCCTCCTCCTCCTCCTCCTCCTCTCCTCCTCCTCCTCCTCCATCTCCTCCTCCTCCTCCTCGATCTCCTCCCCCCCTCTCCCTCCTCCACCTCCTTCTCCTCCTCCTCCTCCTCCTCCTCCTCGGGTCGCCTACGGCCCCAGGGGAAACCGTGCAGTCTTGCGTCGACGGGTGCGCTGTTCGGAGGAGGAAAGGGCCCAGACGCCCTCGAGTCATGGAGAAATCAGGGCGGGAGGTTTGTCGCTGTTTTCGGCCTCTGGGGGCCATCACCGGGCCTCGGGAGCGGCAAAAAACGACTCAGGATGAAAAGCCGGTCCTGGGGAATGGGTCGAGATTTCTGAGGGTCGACGTTCTGAACAAATCATGACGTCGGGGGTCTGGGGATATCGATATCGCCACCCGTCCTGGAGATCTCTTGTCGCCATGGCTGGATTCTCTTCGAAATGCTGGTCCGAACGTACTCCAGGAGAGGTCCAGGGAGTGCAGGTGCCGTTTTGTCCCCCCAGTTCTGAGGGGCGGCATCTACGATCGAGTGGAGCACAGCGCGGGCGATGTGCGTCCACGGGTTTGATCTAGAGGATCGGAATGGATACTGAAAGAATTGGGACGAAGATTGGCTAGCCCTTCCTGTTCATTTTGAACAGGATTCGCTGTCGGTGTCGCCGCGGACATTCGACAACAAGTCGCCTGTCCAACAGCGGCCACTGTTGGTTTTGGGCAGAATTTGAGCTTGGGTATCGTACTCATTTGTCCGTAACCGTTTCGGTCGTGCCAGGTTGAGTCGACTAACATGTTCTGGTGGGTGGCATCAACGAACGAGTGAGGCAGAGCGCGGGCGATGCACGTCCACGAGACGTGGCACTCTGTGCTGCGATCATGGCCACTGCCTCACGTTCGTGTCCGCGTTCTGTCGCCACGGTGCAGCAAGCACCCTTCTGCACAGCGTGCAGGCGTGGGTCGTTCTGGCTGGTGCCGACGAGTGCAGGCGCCCCGGGCCCAGGTGCACGGACACGGCGGCCCCTGGCCCGAGAGCTGGCACGCGGACAGCGAGCAGGCCCGGAGACGAGCGAGGGCCCCCCTCCCGGGGGCCCGGTCCGCCAGCAGCCCTCGCCGCGGAGGCGCCGCGGGAGGTCGTGTGGAGGTCAGAGACTCTGGCGTTCGGGACGAGGCAGCATCGTGATCGTGCGCTGTGGTTCGGGGGCCGGTCCCTCTGCGCGCGTCTGGTCCAGCGGGTGGCGAGGCGTGGCGGCGCTCGGCGGCGCGCGTCGCGGCGCAGTCCCGTGGAGAGTTTGCAGTGGCGGGGTGGTGGGCAGGGTTTTCAGAGTCTAGCGGCGAGGGAGGAGAGCGCACCCTCTAAGGTAGCAGCTCATGGCAGCCAGGTGTGTCCTCGAGGTGCCGTCTTTCGAGTGCATCGCCGTGCGCCAGCGTGTGGCAGTCGATCAGAATCGCCGGTCTTTGCCGTCAGCCAGCGTCGACTTCGCGTCGATTTCGCGTCGACTGGCGTCGACTCGCAAGAGCCGGCAAGATGACGATGGGAGGCTCCCGTACGCTGCCGCAGAACTTTTGCGTCACTGCGGTGATTCTTCTTCTTCTTCTTCTTATTACTATTATTATTATTACTACTATTATTATTATTACTACTATTATTATTATTGTTATTATTATTGTTATTATTATTATTATTATTATTATTATTATTATTATTATTATTATTATTATTATTATTACTATTATTATTATTATTAGTATTATTATTATTATTAACATTATTATTATCATTATGTGTCCTCCGGTACGTTTTCGGCCCGCCTGTGCTCCGATTCGATGCGATTCGCTTCGCTGGCCGGGCCGCCGCAGCTCCGGCCCGATCCGACCCGAGGCGCCCGGGCGTCGGCCGGGGCGGGCCGGAGCCAGGCGTGGCGGCCCGATTTCGGCCTCGCCTCGGCACGAGTCTCCCCGGCGATCTCCTGCAGAGCTTTTGTTTCTCCTAGAGCCGATCCGATCTCGCGGCTCGATGCAGCTCATCAGGAGGGAACAAAAACACACAGACACAATTCATCGTCGATTCCCCAGAAAATATAGGAAAATATGGGAAGTGGGGGGAAGACAGAAACCCAGAAAACATGGGAAAATATGGGGAATCCGGCTATTTGTGTGTATTTATTTGTGTGTCCCAGGGCCCCTTCAGTTCCCTCAGAGCCGATCCGATCTCGCGACTCGATGCAGCTCAGGCCTGCCTCCCAGCCTGCCCGTCCGCAGCCCTCGCTGCACTCCATGTCGCTTCTGCGGGCCCTGCGCGAGCTGAAGCGGGTGGACGACATCCTGCACGACTGCGCCGCGTTCTGGGCCAACATGGACGGCACCGTCCAGAAGCTGGCGCAGATGAAGGAGCTTTCCAGAGGAGGGAAAGGCACCGACACCGCTACCCTTTGCCTCGCTTTCGCCTGTGTGGGCCTCCTGGGAGGCCCTCGGTCGCCACGGCTGTGTTCGCTTTGAAGTTTGGGTCAGGACGCACCCCGGGAGAGGTCTGGGGCGTAGCGGTATCGGTATCTTTTCGTCCTCCCAGCAGGGGGCAGGGAGGAGGGGAGGAGGACGAGGAGGAGGAGGAGGAGGAGGAGAAGGAGGAGGAGGAGGAGAGGTGCTCCGACGTTCCTGTCGGCACCGTTAGGGGCAACGCCATGGGGGTGAGAGGGTCAGGAGAGGCTGTATCGATCACCAAGCGCCCATTTATCGCCGATAGGGGGCCGATCGCAGACCTGTCGGCGGTACATCGCCGAGTCCAGCTCGATGTGCCGGCCCTGGGCGGGTCCCCGCCTAGCGTTCCCCCTCGAGAGAGCATGTGCCAGAGATGGGGAAAGACGCTGAGCAGTGGAGGCACGGGCACGGGGACATATTTCACCCGCATCCTTTATCTGTCCTCTCGCCACCATCCCTTCCCCTCTCTTTACCTCCCTCCTGCCCCTGCTTCGTACATTCTTTGTGCCGGATCAACGGCCGCACATCTCGTCGTCCTCTCTTTTCTGGCCCAGGTCGTCGGCGCGCTTGGGCCTTAAGCGTTACTTGCGCTGAGGGCTTCCTGCTTGATTGGCTGGGTTCTGAGGGTTTTCCCACTAGCTTGCGCCACATAGCCTGCACCACGTAGCTTCTAGCTTGCACCACATAGCTTGCACACATAGCTTGCACATAGCTTGCGCCACAGCTTGTGCCACATGCCTTGCACCATACATATTGTACCACGCCGCTCCTACCACAACAGCTTGCATCACATGGCTTGTGCCACAGCTTACACCACATGTATTGCTCCATATCGTTTGCACCAGAGAGCTTGCACCACACAGCTCGCACCACACACATAATACACATATATATATACACATACATGCGCAGGACCAAGGACGACATATTTTCTTCTTGAGGTGAAAATGGCGATGATGAGTTCGACAGGTAACTTCGGTGCCTTCGAACGGACGGCGTCTGGACGAGCTACGTGCAGCTTGTCCAGGAGGAGAGATGCATTCATGTTTAGTCGGGTCCCCGCGCGGGGAAAGTTGATGGGAGTGCACGAGACAGCACATGACCCATCCTGGGACGTTGATGACCGAACCCCGTTCCCCCGTAGAATCTTAACACGGGCGGATTCCGGGGTCCGCGGATCCGATTTCGTCCGGTTCCCCGTTTTAATTTGATAGTTAAAAATTTAAACGGGGTAGAAATCGGATCCGCAGTAGAAAATAAGGCCGGACGCGGATCCAGAAAATCTGAAATCGGATCCGCGCGGACGGAAATCGGATCCACCGAGACAAAAACCGACACCACAATTGGATTTGTTCGACCTTCATGGGATCCGACGGCGGTTATCCCAAACGCGTCTGCTTAAGATTTCAGGCCGTCGATCCGGGCCCAAGAGGCAACATTTTCGTCCTGGGGATGTGTATGTATATGTCTAGATATATATATAATATAAACAAATAGGCCCCCCCCCCGGCGGGGCCGCCCACTCCGCAACCATCGGGGAACGCTTTTTAATACCCCCTCCCCGGGGCCTCCAAGGAGCCTCCAAGGAGCCTCCAGACGACCCAAGAGGCCTCCAAGACGGCCCCAGGAGGCCCCCAGGATGGTCCAAGAGGGCCCCGAGGCGGTCCCAGATCGCTCCAAGACGCCCAAGAGGGTCCCAAGACGGCCCAAGGGGCCTCCAAGACGCCCCAAGAGGCCTCCAAGAGGCTCTCCAAGAGGGCCCCAAGAGGCTCGAATCGTTGATTTTCCATTGTGTTTTTCGATGTTTTTGGCTTTCTCTCCTTTTGGGCTCCCTGGCGCTCCAAGACGGCCAAGAGGCACCCAAGATCGCCCCAAGACGGCCCAAGAGGCCACCAAGACGGCCCCAAGACGGCCCAAGAGCGCCCCGGGACCGCTTAAGAGGCCTCGAAGACGGCCCAAGAGAGTCCCAACACGGCTCCAAGAAGGGGCCCAGACGCGGGATCCGAGCGCACTTTACGGGCCCTCGGCCCCAAGAGCATCCCCAGAAACCACTAGAGGCTCTCAAAGGCCCCCAAGAGCCCCCCGGGAGGCCCCCAAGAGCCCCCGAGCAGGCACCGAAACGAGCCCCATGCGATTTCGGACACTTTCATATGCACCCCTTCTTCCTTCCGATCCGTTCCGTTGAGCTGCCTGCATTGAGTAGCATGTGCATTGCATTTCAATTCAACAATAATGCTGTGAATCGCGCTGCATTTGCAACGTTTGGCGTTTGTTTTACTACTCGCATTGGTCTGCATGGCGGCACCCAAGAGACGCCGAGAGGCCCCCAAGAGGCCTTGCAGAGACTTCAAGAGACCATTGGGAATCACGTCCTGAGAGGCCTCCAAGACGCCCCTACTTCACGATCCATGTCAGGGGTGTGCCGACATGGGCGGGGCGGCAGGATGCGACCCTTGTTTCCGGGGCCGTCGGAACAGCTTCCTTCGGGGCACAAGCTGTGTGCGGAGCGAGTCGAAATACGCGGGGAGACGCTGGGCGAATTCTCCCAACAGAGCCGTGTGAAAGGTGTGCGATAGGCGGAGGGACGCCGTGCTTTTCTGTCCCTGGCACCGTTCGTGGAGTTCTGGGGGGAGGAAGGAGGTGAAGGAGGTGAAGGAACACAAGGAGGGACAGATTGAAGAGAGCGGGGAGGACAGGGAGGAGGAGGAGGAGGTGAATGAACAGGGATCCACTTCAGGGAGACGGCATCGAGGAGAAGAAAGAGGAGGAGGAGGAGCAAGAGGATAGGATGATGGGGAGAGATAGAACGGAAATGAGGAGGAGGGGGAGGGGACTGGAGTAGACCGATGATGATGACGGCGACGACGCTGATGATGAGGATGACGAGCACAACGACGGCGCCGACGAAGATGATGATGATGATGATGATGCTGATGCTGATGCTGACGATGATGATGCTGATGATGATGACGACGACGATGATAGTGAGGACAACGATGACGACGACGATGATGACGATGGTGCTGACGATGCTGACGATTGTGGTGGTGATGATGATGGTTGTGCTGGTGATGGTAATGGTGAACACGACCATGACGATGACTACGATGGTGATGATTGCGATGATGACGATGGTGAGGATCCTGGCTAGAACTTGAGCGCGCGCGAAGCGCGCGCGATGGTTCTAGTATATATATATATATACATATGCATTCCCGAACAAGGGAGCAGCTCCAATGCTTAGACTCTATCTCCTGGCCAGGCTTGGGTTCGCGCTCCCCTTGTCTTCTCATACTGATTCAAGACGCTTCGCGTTCACCGCCCGCCCATTTCAGTTCTCGCCGGACGAGGCGAAGACGGCTCCATGACGGGATAAACATAGGCAGGAGTTCATACAAGTCGTGTGCTTTGTTGTTTTTGTCCCGCGTTCTCTCTTCCTATGCTATAGCCAACTATGCTCAGGCATGCCTCATGGCTGTTCGATAGTAGATTTGTCGTACGTGCTACCGTTAGTGGTGGTGGTGCTGCGGCTGGTGTTGCTGCTGGTGTTGCTGTTGTCGCTCCTGCTGGTGGTACTGTGCAGTGCGGGTGCCGCTGCTGCTGTTGGTCCTACTTCTGCTGCTGCTGCTGCTGCTGGCGCTGCTGGCGCTGGTGCTGATGGTGCCAGTGTTAGTGCTGCTGCTGCTTGTGGTGCCGCTGCTGTTGTCAGTGGTGGTGGTGGTGGTGCTGCTGCTGCTGCTGCTGGTGCTGGTCGCAGTAGCGGTGCTGCCGCTGCTGGTGGTGCTTCTGCTGTTGACGTTGCTCTCTGGGGGGCCTGTCGGGGTGCTGCTGAGGCTCCGTCGTTGACCTCTTGGGGCTCCTCTGTGTCGGGTGTCACGCGCGCCCGATGTCTGAGAGACGTGAGTGGGCGCGCAGCGTTTTGTGTCGGTGTGCGGGCGTCAGCAGGTGTCAATGGCGGCATGCTCCCGTGGTGGGCTGGTGTCATGCGGTGGCGTGGCATTCCCGTAGTTCTGTCGCGCTTGTGCAGTCGACTGATCCGATGGTAGGGAAGGCGGCATGCTCCCGTGGTGGGCTTGTGTCATACGGTGGCGTGGCAGTCTCGTGGTTTTGTCGCGCTTGCGCAGTCGATTGATCCGATGGCAGGAAGGTGGCTCTTGGCGTGGGTTCTCCAATGGCTGACCAGATGACTGGCCCGAGGTGTGCCGTGGTAGATGTCTGGGTGCTTGTCCCGACGGTTGTCCGGATTCTTTTCCCGTTGCTAGTCTCGGCGGTTGCCCGAGCGGTTGGTTGCCCCGACGGTTGCCCTGGCGGTGATCCGGCCGGCAAGGCGCCAAGAAGGGCCGAAGAGGAACCCGAAAAGGGCCCAAAAAGATGCTAAGAAGGCCCCGAGGCGGTCTCGGGGAAGCCCAGGGCGGCTCAAGCGACAGCACTTCCGCGTTGGGTCGTAACCGCGTCCATCTTGCAGTAAAAACCGCGCGGGGTCTGACCTGGTTTGGGGTCCGTTTTGCGGCCCCACATGGGCCCCGCAGCGTCCAAAATGGACCCCGGAGCGCGCCCAAAAACGGCGAACAAAAGGGAGTGATGAAAAATGACGCACGCGAGCCCGGAAGTCAACTGTAAGCAGCGTCCTGGACAGCCCCGGGGAAGCCGAAATCAGGCCAAAACCATAGTATTGGCGATTTTTACCTAACAGCGTTTGCTGGTAGGTTTCTGGTAGGGTCAAAAGAGAGCATCATGACTCCTCAGGGGGGTCTGGGCGGGTGCCGGGGAGGAGAACTGGGAATCGTTTTTCGTCAACAGTCACACACTTCGTGCTCTTCGACCTCCCAGAACTCCATTCCTGGGACACATTCTGGAGAACCGGGAACAGAGCCGGGCTCGCTTTTTGCCAACAGTCACACACTTCGTGCTCT